GATTGGGGCTACATCATCGAGTGATTAGAAAAGAGTCCCCTCTGGGTGTCAATTAAACATGGCTCCAGCAGCACAAATCAATGCACGGGGATAGTGATTTGAAGCTGAGATCATGTCTACAGCACAAGGCATGGCTGACATCAGCGTGTTAATCTGGGGTGTGAGCGCTCTGTGCTCTCTGAATCCCTTTGTTTACCTGCAGTTACAACAGTGTAACTGTTCTCTTGCCAGTATAACATATTTCTGCTGGGAGGGGGCAGGGGGAGAGAGGAGTGAGTGCACCGAGGCTTGATGCCATTAGGATCTGGATGGTGATCATAGATGTGGAACTACTGTCAGGACATACACCCAGGAGCATGCACTGCTCTGGATGGCTTTGATAAGGGATAAAAACTGCAGCTCTTCAGCGTTGCCTGTGATAACACTACAATCTAGGCTGCTGTAGACTGCCACAGATGACAAACTTTTCTTTCTAGAGGAGTGTATATTTATAAGCTGCATTCTAGTTTAGACATGGATATAGTTAATTCATGTTTATGAAGCACTGAAATGGAAAGGTGTTATGCAAATGCAAAATATTCTTCAGATGAAAAGCCTCTTTTTATTTTTCAGAAAGGGTGCTTTCTTTATTTGTCAGTGATGTTTTTGCTTATGTTGTAAATGATTGGTTGCCTGTGTTTGCTGTTGTAACTTGTATTCTTATTACCACTTTGTTTGTCTTTATTGGCATGTCTGCTTTTCAATCTCCAAGGAATTTCTTAAATACTATGCATGCAAATTTCAGTTCACAGATGTGCAAATTACATAAATGCTTTCCATCCCTCTTAGGTAGAAAAGCTGGAAGTTGCAGAAGTGGTATATACTTGGTATGTGCGTGCTGGCACAGTCCTGAAAGCACAGTTCTTTAAATCCATATTTTGTTTCTGACTATCACTTCTAAATCCAGAACGATTACATTTAATGATTTATAAATTATTTACTCATGAATGGTCAAGCAAAAAACCTTGCATATTAAGAATTAATTTAAAACTCATGCTTTGGCTCTGCTTAATAAAATTTTCTGAAGAAGAAAATTAACTAACTAAAAAAGGAAAAAAACACTTCTAAGTGATTCTTTGTATTTTTTTATGTTGCAGTGGAAGAACTGTGGAAGGATGTCTATGACTCTTTGAGGCTTCCTTTATTAAAAAAAAAAAAAAAGAAAAGAAAAAGAATAAAAAAGAGAATAAAAAGGAAAGGCTACTGGTTGTTTGGAAATCTTAAGGACTCCTGGGGAAGAACTCTTGTCTGATCAAGCAGAAGGTCTCAGCATAATCTCAGTGATTTATGGTACTAATAATATATTGCCTCTTTACTGTGCACAGAGGAAATACTCCTCAGTATTTTTAATTCAAAAATCTCTTAATGGCTGTGTGATTTTAAATAACTAGTTAAAATAAATTCTCTTTTGGGTACAAGGGAAAGGCATAATTCTTTGAGAAATTTGTGAAGGAGGCAGGAGAGATGATTTCAAAAGTTTCAGAGTCCAATTCCTATTTATATGGCATAATTGAACCAGTGTAATATAATAGTGCATACTTATGTCTTCGGTTACCATGTTCCACAGAATGCTGAAGAATAATTGCTGACAAAAACTGAATATCATGGGAAAAAGAGAGTCAACCATCTGAAATAAATTTCATTTTGCTCTTTTAGGAATTGTCAGTAGTCATTATTATCAGTCCAACAGTAACAGTATTAAGACAATAATTTTGCAGTTTTTAACTATTGCATCAATTTAACACAAAATTTCAAAGCATGATCAATCTGATGAACAGTGGATTACATGAATATTCAATACTCAACAAAGTTATATCAGGCTTTTCACCCATGTCTCTTGTATATATTATATCCTCAAACCTAAATTAAAATATTCATAGCTCACTGGAGAGAAATGAAAAATTGATTAACTTAGGTATTTGGGGAAAATGTGTAATCAGGGAAATGAGAAAGATTCAGTCTAGCCTGGGAATGAATCGCTGAGAAGTGAGAGCAAGGAGGAGGTGCCCGAAGCATAACTCCCATGACACACTGTGGTGGCACTTCTAACTGCACTGTTTGCTTTCTCATATAAAAGAATTTTAGCAAAAGGGGAAAAAATTAAAAGGAAATGGAAATTAGGAGTAGGAGTGAAGATTGTCTTCTTATGGCCTTTTTTTATCCAAACTGTCTTCTATTAAACAATTTCCAAATAGTTATAGATATGTGTGTGTGTATGTCCTAAAATTTCGTATTTTCAGTTGTTTTAACTGTTGGTGTGTTGATGCATACACATTGTGTTTACTTTATAGTAATGTAAATATAGAATCTATTTTTTCATGAGAAGGGTTAAGAGAATCCCAAAGTTCTGGGAATGTAACGGCTGTGCTTTAATTGGAAAAAAAAAATAAAAAGAGAAATTATACTTCAGATTATTTTGTTGAAATGATACTTTTAAGCTTTTTGTGATTTGAGTACCCTGGGGTGCTGAGATGGTATTGCTGTTTGAAACTCCAAAGCATCTAAAAAAGCTCCGCCATGCAGGTATACCTCATATGGAGAAGCTACACAGTGTGCCACTTTCACAGTTTTAGACCCCAGAACTTGAAAACACAAAGGGTGAGCTCATTTGACATCCAGGAAGTTTCTACGGATTTGTGGCTCCTTAAAATGTGGCAGAAATTCGCTGCATATTAAGAAATTCTTCTGATTCAGAGGTGGTCGTTTATGTGCTTGGGTTTTTTTCTGTATCAGTAAGATTCTCAAGGATTCCTTAAAGTGCGCAACATCATAAATCTAAAAAATTGAGTTGTAGAACGACTAAAGATTAGCTTTGAAGTAGAGAGGATGCACAATGTTTTACTTAATAAAAATGATCTAATGTAAAAAGCACCATCTGCCTTTTACTTTGGAATTATTTTCTGATATTCTTTGCAGCAGAGGTGGTCTCCAAGATTTTCAACAATTGAATCAGCATCAAGTTTTGAGTATTACTTTGCTGACCAGACACAATAAATACACATTAGCAGTAGAGCAGTGCAGCCTCTTTTCTTTCACCACTAGAAAGGGAGTAGCCCTTTCCTGTGGGGCTTCCTGGGTAAGAATTCAGAAATTGAAGCAGTCTGTCATGTTGTCCACTGGATTCCCCAGCTATAAATACTCTTGACTTATTTTTAAGCTTAGAAAAAGAGATGCTGAGAATTTACAATGCCTAGGAAATTCTACTGCAGTCTCTGATTACATTAATGATTTAAATGTGCTTTGAATGCCCTTGCCTGTATGTCCTGTTGCTTTGCTTGAGCTTGTCCCTTGACCTGACATGATAGAAATTAATTTGAGTCATCAGTTTTCTGCCCAGAATGTTAACCTAAACTGCTGATGGCCAAACTATTGTAGGGACAAAGCAGGTTAATCACCACAACTAAAATCAGCTTTAAGATTTTGAGTATCTTATAGCCAGTTTGCTGTATGAAATATTTTCTATATTACCACCCCCAGCATGATTCTCCTTGGAGTTTTCTCGTATAACTACTGCTAGTTTTAGAAAAAAAAAAAAAAAACAAAAAAAAACCCGCAAAAAAAACCCATTTAAAAATGTTGAGACCTAAATATATTTAATAGCAAGATTGAACATCTTGAATTTTCTTCCATTCATTCTGTGTTAATTTCTATTCCAAAGATATAAGACTGGTAACTGCAATATTGAGAGTTCCTTACTATAATCCACAGTACCTTCTACTGCAGGAACATTAGCAGAATGATACTCTCCTTCTGTTTGGTGATTACAGCTTTTGTGTTTCGTGTTATCCATATGCTACGATGGTAGTTTTATGACAAAGTAAATAGAGGTTTATGTATCTGTTCTTCCGTGAATCTGCCATTTACCTGATTGAATCATTATCTCCAGTGCCTCACAGTTGTGAGTTGACCTGATTTATAGGCCTGGACAGGCTGTCTAAATCACATGCTGAGAGCAAGTAAAGATAAACTGAGCTTCCGAAATTGACTGACACTAATGAATAGTTATAAATATTTTCTTTAGCTAAGAATATTTAAAAATAAAAGAGAGAGAGAGAGATCTGCAAAAAGGTTGACTTTTTTCCTTATAACAACTTCTCTTCATTAGGAGAAATGTGATATCAAGATGACTAGAAGTTGAGGTGATTTAGGAAATTAACTGTTGAAAGGGTTAAAATTGCTATTATACAATTCTTTGTGAAGCAGTACAAAGTACGGACATATGAAGGAGGTAGAAAAAGTAAGTAAAGCAGTATTTGAGAAATAGATGACAGCTGAGTTCTACTGAAAAAAAAATATAATTGTCCAAGCTCAGTTGAGCCTCATCCAGGGAACTTGAAGATTATGCATCAGGAACAGAAAAAATGGTAAGAACGTGTCAAACCACGACAGAGAGCAAAGAAGAATTTCAACACTGAAGTTTCTGCCTTGTCAGTTTCTAAGAAAAAGAAAATGGAAACAGACCAATGGCAAAAAAATATGGTTCAACATACCATATATCTGACCCTTTCAAATCACTAGCAAATATTACCTCTGGAAAAAAAAAAAAAAAAAAAAAAAAAAAAAAAAAAAAGGCAGTAATTAGGCAATCACAGATTTTAATGGCAGGAAAAATGGCAATTAGTCTCTTCCTGAGGAAAAAAAATAATCATTCCTTTAAATTCCAGTTACATAAGAATATGGGTAATTAAACTATTGAAGAACTCTGTGACAGAAATTGGGCACTAGAAAATATCTAAGAAATATGATTCTCATTCATAGAGATTTCTGAACTATTGAACACCCACAGAGCAAAATTAGCTGCAGATTGGTCTTTCTATATCATGGAAATAATAGAAAATAAGACTAGAGGGAAGTGTGAGTGTCTACCTCATCTAACCTGGGTTCTCAGGCATATGAATGACAGCTGAAACTTTCTGGTAGACTAGCACAGCACATAAAATGTGATAAATGTGTTTCAGTAATTTGGGGGTTTTGTTTATTTTTATTTTCTCTCTCAGTAGTACAGAAGTATGCGTTCCCAACCGTATGCAAAAAATCGTGCTCTTAAAACATCTAATACCACTGCAGTGCACTCTATTTTATTTCTGTGTTTATTTATTTCAGCATAAACCAAAGAAACATTTGAATTTAAAGTCTTTTGTGCTGCAAAAGTTGTTTCAGGGAAGAAAGAATTCAGTTAATTAAACTTTTTTCACCAGGTGTTCATTGTGGCAGGATTTAGAAAATTTTACATGTTTCTGCGATACCTATTAAGTTGCAGAGGGTATGGGAGGAAAACAACATTCATCTCTGCTCTTTGCATTTTAGAGGAACTTTTCTGAGGAGAAGGGAAAATCCACGACAGAAGAATCTACTCGCAGTGTGTGTTCCTGCTACGTGTGACACGTGTATCTGTCCTTAAATGTATTCAGAGAGACAGAAATGTTCTGCATTGTATCTGTGTCTGTATTCAACATATGGAGCATTCGTCTGTATCTGAGAAGAGAAAAACAACAAAAAAAAAACCTCACTGCAAAAGCAGTAGCGCGGTGGAGGCTGACGCCAGTCTTCAGCTTTACGTTTTTATACTCACACGTTGGAGGTCACCCTACCCTCCTCACCTTCGGGTCATTTTTCTGGGCTCTGCGGCTCACGAGCTGTGAGAGCTGGGAGGCGGAAAGAGAGCCCGGAGCAGAGACGGGCTCCCGGGCAGCCGCGGAGGGCAGGGCATGCGGGGCAGGGACGGGGCCCCGGGCAGCCGCGGAGGGCAGGGCATGCGGGGCAGAGCGCGCCCGTCCCGCCGCCGCCCCGCCTCCGCCTGAAGTCCCGCTGTGTCCTGCTCCCTTCCGACCTCGGGGTGCTGGCACGGAGCCTGGTCTGTGCTAATCGTTGAGGAAGGATACCTAGTGGAAAAATCAAAGAGAAAAGTGCATCCTGAGAGAAATGTCTCTGAGGAAAGCTCGCTTTTTTGAAACCGCAGCGGGTGGCTGTGTCAAGCGCTCTTCAGAGGTAATAGGGAGGCTCTAGGCTGGTCGGTCTCAATTTTTTGCGCATCTATGAAGCACTCTGTCAAGTGGCTTTTCCCGTTATCTTGTTCCATCTCTCACACATTCAGACTTTATTTCTTCCCTTTTTATCCTGCTATGCGTGTCCGATGCAACACTCATACCCATGGCCAGGGTTATATTCCCGCCGTGCCCCATGTCAGGCATTCCCTGCCCATCCCCGGTTAAACATCCCTGCCGTCACCGGTGCGCAGATCCTTCCCTTGATGTAGGGAAAGGTTCTGCAGACGAAAGACAAAGGGCGTCAACCGCACGACGACGGCGGTGCGGTCGCTCCCCACCCCTGGCCCCGCACCGGGGTACAGAGCACCTGTGGAAACTTTTTTTTAAAAAACAATAATTATAATGACAATAAAATCCCAGGATGGTTCCCTTTCGGGAAAAGCCGCGCCGGGCGCGCCCCGCGGCCGTGGGTGCGGGGTTCGCTGCGCGCCCCGCGGGGCTCCGCGTGCGTCAGGCGCGAGTGGCGTCAGCGGGCGCGGAGCGGCGGGGAGGGGGCAGCGGGAGGAGAGGGGGGAGAGGGAGGGAGGGAGCTTCGTCAGGAGGCGATGGCGGTACCGCCGTGACATCACCCCGCGGCTTATATAGTTGGGGAAGGGTCTGGGTCCCCCGTCTGGTGCCTGCAGCCGCCCGTCAGCACGCGTGCGGAGGGCGAGGAGCGGCGGGGCTCTGTCTGTCTCTGTCTCTCTGTCTTTCTGTCTCTCTCTCCGTCTCTCCCTAGGATTTATGGACTTTACTTTCTAGAGAGCGGCGCGGCAAGGATGAGAGTCCAGCTGGTGTGCGTGGTGTTGCTGGCCCTGGCCTCCTGCAGCCTCTGCTCAGGTAAGTGCCCGCCGCCTCCGCCGGGCGCGCCCCGCACCGCCCGGCCCCGGAGCCCCTCTGGCCGCCCGGCACGGAGCCGCTGCCGCGCCGTCAGACGGACTAAGGCAAGGAAGGGAAGTCGCTTCGGGCTCCGCCGGCTGTCCCCATCAGGCGCCCGGGAGCCGCCTCTGATAACGGGCTCTGGACAGCACCATGGTTTTTTATATCACTCCTCTAACTTTCTCTCTTCGCATAACCAACCCATGCCTCCTCGCAGCATCCATACCATGGCAATTAGTGCAGGCTAGTCATTGGAAATACAAATCAGTGTAGACCATCTGCTGTGGTTTATTGAATATCATGTATTTCCAAATTAAGATACAAATAGTAATTTCTGCAACTCATTAATAGCTGCTGTAATCCAAATCAATGAATATGTATGCCCTTCAGTTGCTTTTTAGAAAGAGAAGCATAGTTTTATTATCTGGAGAAAAAGTTGCTAACAACAAATCTGAAATTATGACAAAAAAAAAAAAAACACAAAAAATGCAAAAATGCTGAAGCTCTGGCAGATCACACAGCAAGAAGATTGATGTAAATTCATTTCTTCTCCAAGAGCAACTGCTTTAAAAAGCTCAAAAGGAAGACAATATATTAAAATGCACTTCTTGCTTCTTTGAAAAATTACACATCTTAAGCATCTGCCATTTATGTCTAAGGTTTATGACCACATAGGTATGATGATAGTTAAACAGGTGTATGTGCATATATATAGTAGAAATAAAATAGCCTGCAAAATCCAGTCTTAAGTAACTTGAAAATTAATTTTTAACTCCACTAAATTACTGGGTAAATTTACAGGCAACTTCATTTTTCAACTTTAGTGTTCAGAGGGACTCAGAGTTCCTAATTCTCACTTTAGATAGATGTTTACAATTTATATTCCCCTGCAGAAGAAAAATGTAAACCACATAATACCTTCATTTTATTACAGTTTAAATATAATTGTTCTGTGTATTATAGAGAACATATCTCAGTGACAAAGCTTAGCATTTTTTTTTTCTCCCCATATATTTCTAAGCTTTTTAAACATATTCCTCACTAGTATTTTCAGTGAAGCAATTTCAAATTCAACTCATTATAGAGCCTTAATGAAAAACCACTAAAGTAAAAGACAATAAGTGGGAATTAAAATAGGTTCATTAAAAAAACCCCAGAAGACAAATTGTGTGGGGAACTAATACAATGGTTTATTTGCTTGAAATTTTGAAATTATTTGTAAATGAGAAACAACACAGAGAAGCTTATGTGAAGGGGCACAAATAATCTGTAACTAATATGGACACTTATACCATAAGAAAATTTAAATTTTCTCTGAAAATGTTTGCCCTCAGGCATAAGTATGTACCTGTAGAATGTAATTATTCCTGTAAAATGTGAATATATGAGTAGAAACTATTTTTCTTGTCAGTGGAATCAAGAATACATCAAACTGTGTGAATTTCTCTCTGATTTTAACAATAATATATAACAAGGCTTTTTATACATTGTTCTCTGAGAGTCTGTTCTTTTTATGCTTTTGCTCCTCATCCATCTCTTTTGAGTCCTGAATTACCTGAACATGCTTCTTTCTCTCCCTCCAAGCCTTCCTTTTTCTTCACCCAAGGAATCTTGACTCCTAAATAATGTCCTCTAGCTTTCTTTTTTCCAATCCAAATGCTTCTTAATACCTTCCTCCCCATCTTTCAAGCCTGCAGCTATCTTCCAGCCTTGATGTGTAGAAGCTACCTTCCATCCTTTATAGAAACAAAAACCAGGTGCTAAACAGGCACAAGTCCTTTAATTGTTCTCAGCTGGCGTGGTCCAGGACCCCACAAATCATGATGCTGTCCTCTCCTGCTCACAGGAGATGCTATCATTGATAGAAATTATGCTGAAGTGATCTTGTGCTGCCACCAGAACTTTGGCTAATGTAAAGCTGGCAAGACTGACTGCCGTTCCTGCTGAAAGGGTTGAAAGGCATTAGGTTGGAGATCAGTTGCTAGAGACTTGCTGACTGGTCTACAACTAGTCCTATTTAATATGAAAATTTTGAACATTGAATAAGATGGTTGTAGATCAGCATTACAGCAAGTCACTTAAATGCAATTGCTTCAATGCTAAAAATAATGAATGAATCTATTGTGTTGGTAATGCAAAGGTGAACAGGAGCATCTCTACAGAGGAAGGGGATATGCGTGACACACGGAAGTTTTTGATGACCTAAATAATAGGAATAAGAAGCAGTGCAGCAATACAAAATGCAGTGGCTTGGGAAATTATAGAAATTCCTGTTAAAAGCTCCTTTTCAACCAAAGCAAAACTGTTGAAATCTGAGGAATAAAAGACATTATCTTGTTATCTAACCTGGGTTTTGGGGTTTTTCAGCCACAAAAGACAAACAAAACTAAAAGACATGTCAGACAGCTGCCCTCTGTAGCTAATGGCAAGCATTAAGGTGATTAAGTGTTGAAGCTGCTGAACCAAACTGTGCTATACTGTTCTCTCTTGAGAACACTTCAGGGACAGGAGAGGGCTGCTCTGATGAGTTGGGAATACAAGGCTTTTGCAAGGAAGGAGAATTGGTGAGAGCGCAATAAATCTGGGCATAGCCTTTCAATTAAGCATTTATGGGATTTCCAGGACAATGGTTTCTGACCAAAAGGAAACAGTGATCTTGCACTTGTTTACTTGTAAGGACACACGAAAACACTAAGCTGGGAAGAGCAATGATTCCTCTCAAATACATGATGGGTAAATATTGCAAATAGAAAGGTTTTATTTACAGTGTAAGAATTTATTTGCAAACCTTGGATACATTTGCAATTAGAAATAAATTAGACTTGAAATCAGAAGCAAGTGAATATGTACTGATATTTAGAAGCATTTCCTAAAGAAGAATTAAAGTAACAGTATTTGTGAGATTTATTGAGATTTACCTTGACTGATTTTTAAGGGCATTGTAATGAGTGGCTTCTGTGCTGATAGAAACTTATAACACATTAGCACATGCTTTTGGTCCCTTACAGTCTCATGTTCTGTGAAAGGTAGTGACACGACATGGTGAGGATCTGAAATGAAGGCATGGGCAGAATCTATCCACTGATTCAGTAGTAGGGTCTTCTATGCCAACAGTATTGATTAATGAAAGTGAGATATTACCTGTATGAATATGGAATATATTTTGATTTAGTATGTTTTGAAAGATTAGTTTTGAAATATTGTTTGGTTTTGGAGTGTTGGTATTCCAGGAAAGGTAAAAGCTATGTGGAACTGTATTTCACCTAAAAGTTTGACTGATTCCTTACATTTTTTTTCTCTGTGAGCTGTGATTGCTGCTACCAAGGCACGGGATCTTCGTTGTGATTCTCATCTTCATCTTGTAATGCTGTGTGTAGAATGTGGCTGTGTATTTTCCTTCTGCAGCAATTTTTACTCTATTTACCAAATCACAAGTCTTACAAGTCTACTGAGCTATCAAAGGTCGATCAAATCAGTAAAGAAAACCCTAGATTTCCAGTCAGAATAATTTCTTTTTGTACATACATTGTTAAGAGCTTGTGTCAAACTGGTCAAGCTCGGTTCCCTCATACCAGTAAAAATAGCCTTAATTTAATTAAGAATAATCAAAAATATTGATTTTAAATCAAGTAATCATAACTTCAATTTACATAAATAATTACTACTGAAATAAATATTATTTGAAAATAAATATTCAAAATTTTCTTCCAAAGTAAGCAAAGTGACAAATATTTAATATGAAAATAAAGAAGACTAACACAGCAGTTTTTTTATACTGAAGGAATTAAAGTTTAATGTGCCTTTCTGCTACGAAGCTGAGATAAATGAACAGTTCCATCCAGTTCAATAAGCCTGAGTATTTTGAGTATTTGTTTTTGTATAATGTTGCTGTTAACTGAAGACTCCTCACAGTTCCTCTAGGTCGCTGGTGTTTGTGTTAAACACAAACATTTAAATATCATTTAAATATCAAAGTTCTCTATACTGAATTGAAATGTCCATGATTTATGATCAAATAATAAACATGTGTTTCTGGTTTATTCCCAGATTCAGAAGAGGAAATGAAAGCATTAGAAGCAGATTTATTGACCAATATGTACACATCAAAGGTAATTATTTTTCTTCCTTTACCTGACAGGGAGGGAGCAAATGAATTCTCATTACAAACCCAAAAGTCTTTGCACAAAGTAATAACCTATGGTCTAGACAGAAAAGTTCAGTGTTAGGTTTTACTTTGGTGCAAGATTTTCTCCAGTTCAAAGGAAATGTAAAGGTGTCGATGTGACACACTAAACATGTTCCTCAGCTGTAACACTGGTACTTTCATTAAACTGTCAAAACTGTGTTATGTACAGAGCTGTAAATTTATGTGAGGAAATGTGTTTCCAATAAGATTATGCCCGATGAAAGCTAAATTAACCTTGAGTCAAATCTGTAAGTGCTATTTTTATGCAGAACCCTTCCTATATGCATATAAAATTAAGACAGTCATAAAGCAAAACCAGTTAATACATATTGCAATTTTGGTTTAGGATTTTGATCATACTGCCAGTACAGGAACATGGGGACATGACTGTGAAAATACTAACTTTGTAAATGGC